AATCTTGTTGTTGGATTAAATACAAGATTAATTTTACTCAAATTTCAGCCTTTATAAGAGCATGATTTTTAAGCGGTTGCATGTTTTGAATTTCTAAATTTCTAAGCATTGTTCCTAGCAAAAGACTTGAGCTTTTATTTTATTCAATCAACTCTTATTATATTTTTTTTTAATTTTCATCAAAAAATAAATAATTGTTAAATTGAGTTTGTGCATCTTATTGTATATCTACATTAAAAAATATGAGGGTGTGTTTGGGGCAGCTTATTTGTCGCTTGTGCGTTTTCAAAACGCCGTGGAAGCGTTTGTTTAAAGCGTTTTGCCTGAGTTTCAGAAAACGAAGTTTTTAAAATGTATTAGACGCTGAAAGTGCATATGACCCCGCGTCCGGGCGTTTTGGTTTTCGATCGCGATACCCTTCGTTGTTTTATGTGATTCTTCCCCTCTTCCCCTCTGATTCGCCGATTCTACTCCTCTCCCTTCGTTCTCTGCGATTCTTCCCCTCTGGTTCGCCTCGCCTATATCGATTCTTCCCCTGCGATTCGCCTCGCCTACTCTCTACCGTTCCATTATATCAATTCTTCTTCTGCGATTCTTCACGGTCCTCACCACCTCCTTACTGGTGTTCTTCACGCAGTAGAGGGGACCGGCTGTGGGGTTGGGATGGTGAGACCAATAGTGAACAGGCTAATGTCTCCAAGGGTTGGGCATCTACTATGGTAATTTTTTTTCTTTTACATTTTTTTCTTTTTCCCCTTTAATGAACAATTTTATACTCTTACAAAAAATCTAAAAAATTAGCCTTTGCAATTCATAATCACTTGATCAAATAGAAAAATGCACAAATTATTAATTTTCACAGTTCAATAGAAAGTTTGTCTCACTTTTCTCTTCTTTATTTTGCTTTAGATCTGAAATACTTTTACTGTGTTTTTTTATCTGGCATTTAGAATTGTGAGCGGTGATTTGATTTGTGTAATGTAGTTGTTTTGAGGGGATTGACATTTTGAAGAATATGAAAGTCGGTTAGTTTTAAATTTGGACGCCTTTCTGCATTATAGTCATTTTGGTTAGATTCTGCGTATTTATAAATAACAGTTGATGATCTTACGTTTGGAACAATAGCTATAATAGTAGTTGACGATGTTAAGAGACAATTTCAATTTAGTTTTGGAAGAACATTTTAGAGGTATCTCTTTTGTCATGAGAAATAATGAGAATCTTGTATTTACTTCCCTTTATCATTGTGCTTGTATCAGTTGTTTTCCAAACGCATAAACCAAACAGCTAAACAGTTTATCCAAATTAAGGAGGGCAAAATGATATTTTATCAAGAATCAGCTGTTTTCGAAACGCACAAACCAAACAGCTAGCCAGATTATCAGGATAAGATATTGATCAGCAGATTATCAGGATAAGTTGATTATCTGGATAAGTTGGATAAGCTACAGCTGCCCCAAAATGAATCTTAAAAAGTCCTAAACTAGTTTAGTATTGAAGTTCAAGTAACATCATGATGCCTTCTAGGTGTACCATATAATAACTGATCAATTAAAAAAAAAAAGCAATTTAAATCAACTCAATTTAATTATGATTCTAACCAATTCCAACAAGACAATTGTGTGGTCAAGAATTATACTCTTACATTCAAAAAGAGACAACCTAAGGTATTTCAGATTTGATACTTGGTTTGATGGCTTTGATGGAACTCATTGAAATATTTACTAAAATAAAAACTAATTGGGCATAATCAATAATCTTGTTGAAGTGTTGATATAAAATAAAATTTACAAGAGCATATTTGAAATATAAAATTAAAGAATAAAATTTCTAATCCACCAATACAGAAACAAATAGTCTATAACTAATTTACAAACATTAAAAAGGTAACCAGTGTATTTCAAAATTTTGAAAGATTTAAAGACCATGCTGCAAAAAATTATTACTTGTAGATTACTATAATATTAACATCTATTTCATTAAATGTATGAGATAACATCAAGCATAAATTAAATTTCAATAAACAAAACAATAAATGAGCATTTACACATAATTTAAAGTTTGAGGGATACAATCCACTTATTTGGACTATTGTACATGTATCTACTATAAATCGTGCTATAAAAAAAGTATTTGATCTTATTGAAGGCAAAATAGCTCAAAAATATTCTTTGAATAATGAATTAATTGCAAAAAAAAAAAAAAAAATCACAAGTACAATATGATTTTCTATATCTGATTTTATTAAAACAGAATCTACAATAGAATATGTTAAATTTCATATGTTTTAGTGTATGGTCGACCTAGCTCATTTGACAACCCTATAAATTAAGTATCCACTAAAATTATCTCCACATCTATGAAATAAATTGATATAAATTTATTTTTTATAATTGATTTCTTAACTTGCACATTCGCAAAAGAACCTCATTAAAAAAAAGAAAAAAAAAAACTGCATTAGCATACCCATAAAATTATTCATAATAGCTTCCACTAAAACATATGAAATTTGAAACCTTAGTTATTGGTTGAATGTAAGGGTAACTCATCAAAACTAATCAAAAAATTTTAGGCTTATTTTCTTTAAATAAATTGTCGATCCATATAAAACAAATGTCATATTTAGTTGGTTTTTAGTATATCAAAAATAAACTTTATGGAATCTAGTAAATATAATTTTTAAATTTCTTGAACATATCATCCCCTTAGAATTAGTTGTATTGAGTCTACTAGAAGCATAGCAAGCATTTTAGCATTGTCGTCGCATGCATTACATCCTTAAAAACCACCCATTAGTCATGTGCATGATTTGCAAAAGAACATTTGCAGGTAATTTGCTAATCATAACCATTACAAGTTCACAAATAATTAAATTACAGAATAATAATTAAATTACATAATGGTCATATAAATATTGAAAGATTTCCTATATAAACACTTTAAAAATTAATTGCTAGAAAAATGAAGAAGTCATATGAAGAATTGGATTAAATGATTAATAGTTAGAAATCCAAGAAAATTTTAGTATTTTTCAAAATTTTAATGTATTTAATTTGTCTTTATATGATGAACAACTAAGTAATACAATGGATTCTTTACATTTCATCCATATAGATTCACATTCAATTCATTATCCACAAAATTCCTCAACTTTGGTATTGATCTTATTCCTACAGCTATTATTGGAAATAAAATCATATCCATGAGTGATGGATATTGAAAATTCCTTATATGGTGTAGAAATTGCTGACAATATGTTGATCCTTTCAATTTATTTTCTCATTGAAAGTGCAAAAATTATTCTCAATCATACTTGAAAAGGATCAACTCAATAATTTTTCCAATTCATTTTTGCATTGAGTTATGAGTTTTAATCCTGTAATTTACAATTCTTGAAACAGAATTTTCCTTCTTTTACATGATGGCCACAACTTCTATGACTACCCTCTGTTGTGATCCAAGTGGGTGGCTTTTGTTGCGAGTAATGTTCACACTGTCTGTGGACTTGCAGGTGGCCAGCTAATGCATTTTTTATCAATGCATAAGAAATTCTAAATATTTTTAAAAAATAAAAATCTTAGGACTTTTACCAAGCTCAAGGGATTTTAATCTAACAAAAATTCTAGTTGACGTGTTACTCCTTTTACCTCTAGCAGTCAAATCTTTGACAAGTGTGAGACTTGAATATATTTGGAAAAGTCATTTCCATATATAATCATGATTCACGAACCCTGCTTATTCTGATTTGTTATACTTCCCTTCTACTTTATTTCCTTTCTCATTATTTATTTTATTCATCTTTGATTTTCAACGAGTTTCTTTGTTTTTGGTGGTTTTGAATTTCAAGTAAAAGAATAAAATTATTAGGTTAATTCCTTCTCATCACCCTTTGTGTTTTCATCAATAATAATAATAATAATATCTATTAAACTAAAAATCTGTGACCTAAAAAATATTGTGTGTATAGCGTCTGGGGCATATCATAGTAGATCTCATGGAAAAAATTCAAGGTCTTAAGAAGTCTTATATCACTTGTTTAAAATAACTGGTGAGCCATTCATATGACAATAACACTAAAAATTAAGGGTATTTACACACATACCAACCAATTCATATATGTTTACATATCTAACACCCAAACTTCGCCTTTTACATTTATGACGCCACTGTTTTCAAATAACTTCAAAAATACAATTATTTTAACTTTTAAAAAGTGGAGTACAAGTTTTCAAGCAAAGATAAGTTGTTATATATATGTAAAAATTGAAGTTTAGGTGTTAGGCATGTAAATACATAAGAATCATGTGATATGTATGTAAATCATGTGATATGTATGTATATGTATGTAAATCTAAAGGCTCGACAGTCAATTTCCCTATTCTTGGATCAAAATCACGATACACAAATAGCAGATGGGATCATACAAGAACCAGGAATGGCTAAACTTGAGAAATTTTAAGTGCTTTTGTTAAAGTTAGAAACTTCATAGACAGCACCAAAAATTTCCGTCTTAGCTCCTGAAATTAGTGGCAGCAAAAATCTATATATTTCTTATTATTATATGCAATATAGTACCCATAAAAATTCTAAATAGCATTAGATATAACAATCCACGGGCCTTCAAATGGTCAACTACAAGGAAGCATAAAAAAAGATAGACAACGAGGCAGCAGGGAAAAACTGAATCTCACAACATAATGCCATTAATTAGCATTGACTATTCTTGACAAAAATAATTTGATTCGACTACTCAAGCCATAATTAGGGTCATAAAACAGCTTTTTACAAAAAAATAAAAAATACAAACACAATTTAATGAATATAACAACCCATGTCTTATTAAGGCACGTATGATTAGAGGGTTTGAAAAGATATAGAAGTCTTAAAATGTGATCAAATGCAACAAATTTAAAAAATAATATTAATGCTACACAAAAGCACAAAAACCAGGTTAGTTATATGAACAACATTACAAAAGCAAACTCAAGTAGATAACAAACCTCTGAGTTTCTTTTCCAGGCTCTCAAGGGTAACAACTTTTGCATCCTTGGTACCACTATTATCTCCAATTAAAATATTGTGAATAATTACCAGTGGAGGCCACAAAATAAGATCATCCCTCATAGCTTTGGCATCAGCAACCGGCATGGACTGATATGCCCTTGATTTGTCGGGAGGTACACGCCAGTTCCAGCCCAAAAGAACACATAATGCTTTGTGAAAACCTAAATGTTCTGTTTTCAACCCCTTCTTTAGAGAATGGTAGCTGTGTGTAACTAGGCTATTTGTATCCAAAAACTCCTTTGACGTACTGAAACCAAAAAAAAAAAAAAAAACTACACTTGTTGATCAAATCACAATAATTACAGAAAAATAGCAAAAAAGTATATTTTATCTCAAAAAAATTGCAAGAAGAAAAATATGTTAAGATTAAAATAGAATACAGAGAGTTTATGGCACATGCTAAAATACTAGACTTCCCTGAGTAATAACACTTAGTTTGGCAGCTTCAGAGCCAATTTAGATTCCAAAAAAAGCATGCACCGCTATAAATTATGCAGACTTTAATTGCAATAAACATATATAACATTATGAATTCAATACTAAACTGAAATTTAAGACCATTCATTGTGTTACATACTCATCAATCTTAGCACTGTAGCAGAAGCTGAATAGAACCAGCCAAAGGAAACAAGGGAGCAATGATTTGAACTTTTTTTCAGAAAGAGCTACATTCATGCATCATGAAACAACCCAATCTTTGCAGGACTACAAAGAATAACAACAAACAGCAATGATCTACTCGACTTATCAGCTTGGCGGTTGGAGAAAAGAAAAAAACAGAAGAGTAAGCCAAACAGGTGACCATTTATACTATGAGATAAAGTATGGTAATTAAAGTTTACATGACAAAGGATTTCAAGAAAATAGTAATTTATTGGCACATTTTATAGAATTATGTGCTCCACTGAGCAAGTATATAACAAAGTCTAAAATTGTCTAATTGGGTATTGATACATTCTTACATTTTAAAGCCTAAGCATCAAAATCAACAAAATTTTGCAAAATAAAAAGTATTATACTAAGTTCAAATCATGTAATAAAAAGTAACATATGCAAATAATATAACATTTTAACATCTTAATATTATATTCTTCAAAGTAAAAAAGTAATATGTTAACATCAAAACATTAAATCATAAAACAAGAAAGGTTATGTAATAATCAAAATAAAATATAATAGCATAACCATCCAAAATAAACTTTATACGATTAGTTTCTCTTTAACTCTTACTGTCATCCATCCAATTAAAAACATAACAAACCACTAAGATTAATACTTCTAAATTTAGAAGTCCTCATCACTCTTATCACTCGATGAGACTTCATTGGAATCATGAACAAAATGATTTATTTCTCTCTTATCCTCAATTATATTCATGTTCAGTCATTTCTCCTTCACATCTAAAATCTCAATCATCACTCTCTTATTTAATCAAAAAAAAAAATGTACATACCACACAATTCTTATATATTTACAAGTCAAACACGCAAAATTTGATATTTACACTTATAAAACTTTGTTGTCATAAACCTATTCGAGAAAGGTGTATTACAATTTTGAAATGTTAGTAATTGTGAAGTTTTTTATATGATGTTAAGGAATTGTGTGTTATATATGTAAATATAAAATTTTGGATGTTAGATATATAAATATATAAGAATTGTATTGTATGTATGTAAATGCCCTTATTAATTAATAAAAATATTTATTACATTTTAAAATAATATCTATATAAGAGTTAAAAACTTCAATTACACCCACAGTTGTGTATTATAAGGGTAAGTAAAGAACATTTATTAGGGTTATTTTACTTAAATTTATTTAAGAAAAATCCTATATCTAGTTGTACACACCTCACCAAAATTGAGATGAAAGTAAATTTCAAATTTTTTGAGGCGTAACCTTCATGTAAGATGAATTTTTCAAAAAAAAAAAAAAAAACATTAAGGCGAGGATCAATGTAGGCCTCATATTGTGCAATTTTAAGTCATGGTATACATAAATTGGATTCCCTTTCATATTAAGAAGTATTCTAAATTCCCATTCCACATATTAGAAACTACACTCGTAATTTCTGTGTAACTTCATTTATCTGAATGTAAAGTGAGCTAATAACCCTAACCCAACACTATTAAGCTCTTGTCTAAGAACTAAAATTTCTTGGTGATAACACATCACAAACTGCAGTTTCAATTTTTCTAATTGCATCTTCAAAGATTGACTAAACTCATAGATAAGCAACATTTCACCCTTTAGCTGGTCCCAAAACTAAATTTTCAAATAAAGAAAGGTTGAGAAGAATAAATCCTGCCAATAAATACTTAAAAAGGGGGGGCAATGTCAAAATCAGTTTGTCATACCCACTAACTCACCTAGCTGGCTTAAATTTCATTCAAACTCAACTAAATTTTGCAGGAGACTGTGATTCCAATAGTTGCTTCAAATCAGCACCAAGAAAGATGATAATCATATACAAATTAAAAGTTTCAAAGCATGCAACATACTTGAAACATGTTGAGAGCTTATTATTAGTTCCATGTGGAACCAATCTTTGAGATTTTTAGGCACTGCAGTTCTAGTTAAATAGCTTGCCAACCAGAGTCAGAACAATTCCAACTTAATGCTGAAATTGTGATTAAAATAATACTAAACCCGTGTAACCCTAAAAGATTCCAAAACCTTCAATAATTATATAAGATAATTTAAATATATACTACATGCTTTCTCAAATCAGGGACAGAAAGGCATAGTTCCTCATGGTTAGAGCATCAAGTTGCACGTATAGATTTTTCTTAAGGCTGTAAGCGCTTCTGCATCAAGAAAGGAGCAGCTAAATGCTTCCATTAAGTATATTGCAGTAGAGAAGACAGACCTTCCACATACACTGCACAGTAGGCTGTAGCTACTTCCTTGGTTTTTGTATATTCTTTGATTTTGTCTAGTCTCATAAAACAATTTAGAATACCGGAGGAATGCTTTGTGAACTTGCTGCTTAAACTCCTCTGAATCTTCTGAGGGATCATTCTTCACAACATTAGCATGATTGTCATAAGGCCCTCCACCTTGAGCACCAAGCCTATCCTGTATTCCCCTCTTCCAGTTCTTATGAGACCTTAACAAATCTGGTCTTCTTTCTGAGACATACCTAGTATGAAAATCAGAACGAGTGTGCTTCAATCTTCTCTTTAAATTAATATTAAGATCCCTTTCTGCGTGCATGGAAGATGCACCACTTGACAGCATAAAAGCATCAGATTTTGAAATGCCCCCAGAAACTTTTCCATAACGGGAGTGTTTCATGAGCCTTGACTTCGACAGAGAGGGCTCTGATCGCTCTTCAGTCACCCACATTTCATCACTTACATTAAAGGAACGCCGGTCATTCATAAACAATACTCTCGAATGACTCTCATGTAAATCTTCGACGATGTTATGATTTCTTCGGCCCATTCTTTCTAAATCATAATCACGTAAAATTTCATCACTTTCATTAAAGTAACGCCGTTCATTCTTAAACAAGACTCGTGAATGACTTTCATCTATATCTTCAACAATGCTGTGATTTCTTCGCTCCATCCTTTCTAAATCATAATCACGTAAAACATCCATATGTGACATGTCATGAGCACTCATTGATAGCCTATGTTCGTCTAAGCCATGATCTGATATCAGAGGCTTACTATTCCTATGTTCTGCTCTGTGAGACGATGAGAAGAAATCTCTTTCAGGAGTACGACTTTCATCAAAAGGAATCCTTTCATAATCTTGTGATGATTTAACTCGCAAACCACCCTGCCAATCACCTGAATAGGTTAGTAACTCTTGTGTAGTTCTCATATCATCATAATTATGAGAAACACCGCGATTCAAATCATGGTGACAGTCTGAAAAAGTTCTCTGAATTAAATTCCTGTTGGAAGAGACATCTTTGTCCATCCAATCTCCAGGATAGTCTAAGATAGTTGAAGAAGTGGGATCCCTGAAATTAGAAAGGGAGACAGAAGGTATCTTTTTATATGTTTCATCTTGAACCCTAGGTCGATGATCATCTAGGCCTCTTGGATGAAGCTCATCATAATCATGTGTTTGAGACATATCCAGCGGTATAGGCCTCAGTGGATCAGACTTTGGAATTTGATGGTAAGGATAATGCTCCAAGGGGTCATTAGGGTGTCTGCCAATACCATAGGCAAGCCCATCAGATACAGGGCTACGGTGCAACCCTTTGACCTCCTCCTTCAATATGCCTGATGAAGAAGTACTGCTGAAAGGCCTCAGCTGTGAGGAAGGCAGGTTGGGGATGGAGAAATCGCTGGAATGCATACGTCTTCCGTCCATATTATCATGTGGACCCCTATGTCCATCATTATAAGAATGTAACTCAACTTCCTGCATCCCCATGCCAAAACCACCTCCTCTGCATCTCATTGTGTCGGAGTTCTGGTCTGAATAAATGAACCGGGATGTGCGTTCTCCGGTTAGGGTTGAATTTTGCCGCAGCATGCCCTGTTCCGCCATATCCAGTGAGGAGGGTGGCAAATCTTCATTAATCTGGATGATAAACTCTCTATCTTTGATCGACTGTGAAGTCTTCCAGCTAGGGTTAGATGAATTGTGTTCTGGAAGTAAGTATTCGTGTTGGAATCTGAAATCATCATCACGCGATGAGGTTGGTGGTGACGGTAAGCGATAGCGGTGGTGAGGGAGCGGTGAATGGTTATAGATAATTTCCTTTCCATGATCGGAGCGCCTCAATGGATGATCCTGCCGCAGCTCTCTTGACGAACTCCGACGGTCAAAGGACCTATGAGGCATCGCCTGCGGCCTCTGCTGCCGCATAGCTGGGCTTCTGCTGCGACCAAACCGGTGACTCAAAGTGTCGCCGCGCCATTCACGCCGGTCCTTCATCAGTACTGCTGATTCCAATGCTTATCGTATCCTTTACTAAACTAAACGATCAAAACCTTAAAAAAATAAAAGATAAAAAAAAAAACCCTAGATATCGTCGAAGCCTATTCCAAAAATCGGTGAGTCAAGAGCTCCAAGGGGACCAAGAAAGAGTGAAGAAAGCGTGTGGAAAAGAACGGAGATGCAGAATGTTTTGGGAAGGGAACAGAATATAAATCGATAAACGCAACCCTACCTGTCAATGTTGCAGAGAAGTCCTTACCCTAATCCTTGTGCTGCACAATATGGAAAAACAGATTACAAGGTTGCAGAGGAGAACCGGCGCGGAGAATGATGCTGGAGGAATTCATCCAATCATGCGGGTAAACTCGCAAGATTTTTAGGGTTTTCCTGTTTGGACAGCTATGAAGCTTTGAAGCTGGTGGGTCCTTAAAAGCTGCGATTATTTTTTATTTTTTTGTTCTTTTCAAACTCAAAGCTGCTGCCAATAGGACCGTAAACGAGCGAAGCTTCAGTGTGCTTGTTGAGTTATTTGAAATTATTCGTCTTTGAAATTGACTCGTATTCGAAGTAGATTTGTGAACGATTTGTCCATATTCAGCTCGATTTAAATATTGTGTTCTGCCAATAGGACCGTAAACGAGCGAGGCTTGAGTGTGCTTGTTGAGTTATTTGAAATTATTCGTGTTTGAAATTGACTCGTATTCGAAGTCGGTTTGTGAACAATTTGTCCATATTCAGCTCGATTTAAATATTGTGTTCATATTTGACTCGAAATTAGCTCGTGAAAACTAAATTTTAAAAGATAGATTTAAATTGTTGGATTTGAAAAATAAATGTATGCAAAAAAAAAAAAAAACACTAACCACGTTACCACACGATGTGTTACGATTTAAATTTAATTATATATTTTTTTTTTATTTCGAGCTAAAATGAGCCGAACAAGAGAGTTGTTCGTTCGCGTTCGGCTCGTTTATAATTTGAGCTTTAAAAATTTGTTCGTATTCGGCTCATTGCACACGAGTTGTTCGCGAACAACGAGCTTTTTGACAACCCTAATTGCCAAAGTTGCTACCACAACTAATATGTGTTGTTCATATTCGGCCCATTGCACACGAGCTGTTAGCAAACAACGAGCTTTTTGACAGCCCTAATTGCCAAAGTTGCTACCACAACTAATATGTAATAGTGAAATAAATGCATGATTTCGCGTCAATTTTTTAAAAAATTTTATCCAAAGAGATAAAACTGTGATTACACTGCAACGCCATCCAAAACAAACTCTTAATGTTTTAGGTCGTCGTGTTGGCTAAAGAAGCGACGAAATAAACCTATTTTATTTTATTTAGCTTTTTACCTCATTTCTCAAGATAGAACTAGGGATTGAACTAATAATATTTGAGGTTATATTTAAAAATGATAATAGATAAGATTTACGTAAAACTCAATTCTATTTATTTAAATATCTAACACCTAAAATTCAATTTTAATGTGTCATTTTATCTATGCATGAAAAATTGTATTTCACTTGTTAAAAATAATGATATTTTAGATGATATGGATGATTTTTGTGACATAAATGTAAAAAGATATAGTGTTTTGGTATTGTATATGTAAAGAAATAAAATTATGTGGCATGTATATAAATTGAATTTCTTTATAGTACTAAAATTTTTAATGAGATATGAGTGATTTGGTTGGTATGAATGTAAAAAATAGAGTTTAGGGATTAGATATGTAAATTACATGAAATTGGTGCTATAAAACATAAGAAAATATGATTTCTTGTTTAAGGGTGCTGGTATTTGTCGGTTCCAAGCCCGTTCAAATGGGTTCGATGCGGGGGCAGTTTTTAAGTCAACCCGAACCGAACCATTACCCTGTTCATCATACAGTTTTAGAGGTTTTTACATAGCCCTTCAAAATATATTATTTAATTGTCACCTCAGTTTTTGTTTTTATTATTTCATGCTCTTATATTTTTATATGCGGTCACTTGAGCAAGAAAATCAATATATATATATATATATATATATTATAGATATTTTTTCATTTATTCGGCAAATTTGCTCAAAAATTGAATAGTGCTACTACTTTACAGTGATGAATAAATTAAACATGTTGAATATGAGTGAATAAATAAAGTAAAAGAATGACTGATCAATAGCAAGAAGTTACTCGTAAAGAACTCTTCGATTCTTATGGTGTTGATTAAGAATAATGTTGATTTTCTTGATATCTCCTATGATTACTCGCTTCTTCACCTTCGTGTTGATGCCGCAATTGTAGGTACTATTATATTTTATCTTCATTGGCGCTAATGTGCATGTATGACGGTTCTAAAAGAGAGAGCCCGCTTCTCTCGTGCAGTTACTATTGTTGAGAAATGCGCTAATGAAACAATCAGTTGGAGTTGAGTGAGGCAACCCATGGGGTAATATTATTGGTGCTTTCTGTGTTTGGCAAGATCAACTCATCCCACCATGCTTTGCTCTCCTTTTACCCTTCTTGCCACATCTTATTGTATTTGATTGACCATGTTTCATGTCTGTGACATTGTCTCCCTCTCCCCCTCCCCCTTTGTGTCCTTCAAAGCTCTCACATCATCCTCCACCATAATGAAACTCCTAAAGTAAAATGCAATTGAACTCTTAGATGCGAAGAGAGTTTGGCATTTACAAATAGCATTGTTGCATTGCACCACTTTGAATCTAGGAACCATGTGTATTATTAAATAGAATCCTATGATTGAAAGCCACCTATGGTCAGAGTCATGTCTTAAATTGGTAGGGGCCACATCTGGAATTCTATATGCTTGGTGCAAGATTTTGGATTTAGAGCATTGACGAGAACATCAACTACTTAAGCATGAGAGATTATGGAACTTTTTAAGCAAAATCAAACTATTGAAGATTGAGGCACCTTATGTTGTAATAGTTGAAATTTTATCAAAAACTCTAAAATCAAGTCTCTTGTGCATAAGAACTCCTAAGAATGATGACTTCTTGAATCTATGAGAATCACATGTAAAATCATATATGTCTTGTAAATGATTATAGATTAAGAGCACTAACGATGCAAAAAAATTTTAAGTGAAGAAGATTGTGAAATTCATGAATTAAAATGAAATTGAACTGTTCGACATTGAGGAGCCTTATGGTATAAGGATTGGACTTTCATCAAAACTCTAAAATCAATTATGCCCACACAGGAGCACTCATATGATGGATGAGCTTCCGGGAAGTTATACATATGAGATAAGAAAAACACAAGAGCATTAGGCTAATGCGAACAATATCTCAATAAATGAGAGTTTAGGCCATTACAACCCCAACTCCCTTATTGTGCCTTCCCATCATTCATGCCACTTGATAATAGTGATTTGAAAAAGGTTGCAACACTAAGGATTTGGGCACAGTCTTCATCTATTATTTAGATATTTTATACTAATTATTATTTTTGTTTCTTTTATCTTCATGTGTAGTAAAATTTTTTTATTAATTTATTATTTGTTATTAATCATTCTTTTAATTATTCATCTATTTTTATTCAGTAATTATAATATATGTTTTCGACGCCTACTCATTCATATTTTCGATTCATTTAAGGTTCTATTAATTATAAGGTTCTATATATTGCATGTTGAAAAATATATAGAAAAAAGAGTGATAATTTTTTATATTAACATTGCAAAAAATCATATATACACGTATATAATGAAAATTTAATGTATAAAGATTATCGAAGTAAGCTTGTTCCATCAACTAATGAAATTTGTATTATAAAGTACGAAATGATTGGCCTGTCATACCATCAATGAAATACATAATGCTAAAGAAGCGATGAAATGTGATTATTAAAAATTTATATATTAATGATGCTAGAGGATCCTTTTATTATAAGACAATATTATAAATATAAATAAATAAATATATATATATATATATATATATAATGAAATATGTTTAAAATATTTTTTTTGAACACGAAATAGAGGGCGAGTCACCATAACTAAAGTAGACAATTATCTTTCTGCCTAAAAACATAAGTGCAATGGATTTAAAGGAGTGATAGATATAAGGTAATAAATTCAATAGAAGATAAAATAACAAGTTAAGGTTTTATCGTAAGTGCAATGAATTTAAAGGAGTGATAGTTATTTAAGCTATCAAACTTGAAATCATTCAAGGAGTTCATCCAACTCTGGTATAAAACAAAATTTCATTAGACATGAATTTTATCATTCAAAGTTAATCTCATGATCTCAAATCATAAAAAAGAAATTGAGGTTCTTAGACAAACTATATCATCTAAAATTGACATTTGCAATTCAAGTTCTCAACAATTGCACATCACCCTTTAATTTAAAATTAAATTTATTTTTACACATTTCTATATCTTTGAATATAATATTCAAAAGAGATATTTATTCTAACAATCAATTATTTGATTTATGTTCTTGTAAAAATCAATCAACATGGCTCTACAAGGATATTGATACTTATTTCATCTTCAAGATGCAGTGATTAGAGAAACTATTATCCGATTCAAACAAGATTTCAATTAAGTTTACACAATGTCTGATCATGATTTAAACAATGTCACAACAAGACCTAAACATCCATGAACCAAGTTTAAATAACATACAAGTAGGTTTTTCACATTGTTTGAACATTATTCAAAACATATCTTTGATCCTCAATCATGTTTTGTGCAAAGTATTATCAAAATGACCCAAAATTGATTGCTCCAATTCATTTTGGAGATGTAAAACATTCAAACATTAAAAGATATACAAATGATTGTTGAAGTTCTTGAAGTCCAATTATTTTGTGTAGTTCAACTTTATCATCACAGTCCTCTTACCCCATCGAAAAAAATGTCGAGTGGAACGATAACGAGATTAACAATAAAGGATGTCCAAAAAAATCAGGAGGTGTTAGGAGGGAGATACTTAGTAATTTCAATAGGTTATACTTGGATAGAGAGACATGTATATTATGGATATTTGCATCCAAAATAGAGGTTTAGCCATGTTGTTCTAAATAAAAACAAGAAGATTTATGTGTATTACATATAATTCTTATGCATTTATTTACAAAACCCTGAAATATATCACCCTATTAGTTGATTCAGATCAAATTAAAGGTATGAAATAATGTATTTCCCTTAGGATGAATTAGTGTTAATGATATTTTTTTATTTAATTAAGAGATAAAGTGTTATATAATTAAATATAAAAAAAATACATGTTATATATACAAGTAAATAAGTATTAAGTGATATGTAGATGAATCCTCAATAAAAAAATATTGAATTTATGTTCATTAAAATATGAATAACATGTGGTATATAAAGTTAAAATTAAAAAGAAAAATATACATATATTAAATTAAAATCGGACGACTTTTGAGTTGTATTTATAAAAAAAAATTTAAATAAAAATTTAATTTGTATAGAAATTTTTAAGAAAAGTAAATTATTTAACAAGTTGTTGACTAGCTTTTTTTTAAAGCAGCCCAAAAATTGGGCGGGAGAATGACTTTGTATAGTTGTGCTCCTTGTTTATATTTTTAATATTTTCTATGCTATTTTATATCTTTATATTTTTAGAAATTTAGCAATTAGTTGGAGTTGAGTGAGGCAACCCATGGGGAAATATTATTGATGCTTTCTATGTTTGGCCAGATCAACTCATCCCACCATGCTTTGCTCTCCTTTTACCCTTCTTGCCACATATTATTCTATTTGATTGACCACATTTCATGTCTGTGACATTGTCTCCCTCTCCCCCTCCCCCTCCCCCTGTGTCCTTCAAAGCTCTCATATCATCCTCCACCATAATGAAACTCCTAAAGTAAAATGCAATTGAACTCTTAGATGCGAAGAGAGTTTGGCATTTACAAATAGCATTGTTGCATTGCACCACTTTGAATCTAGGAACTATGTGTAATATTAAATAGAATCCTATGATTGAAAGCCACCTATAGCCAGAGTCATGTCTTAAATTGGTAGGAGTCACATCTGGAATTCTATATGCTTGGTGCAAGATTTTGGATTTAGAGCATTGACGAGAACATCAACTACTTAAGCATGAGAGATTATGGAACTTTTTAAGCAAAATCAAACTATTGAAGATTGAGGCACCTTATGTTGTAATAGTTGAAATTTTATCAAAAACTCTAAAATCAAGTCTCTTGTGCATAAGAACTCCTAAGAATGATGACTTCTTGAATCTATGAGAATCACATGTAAAATCATATATGTCTTGTAAATGATTATAGATTAAGAGCACTAACGATGCAAAAAAATTTTAAGTGAAGAAGATTGTGAAATTCATGAATTAAAATGAAATTGAACTGTTCGACATTGAGGAGCCTTATGGTATAAGGATTGGACTTTCATCAAAACTCTAAAATCAATTATGCCCACACAGGAGCACTCATATGATGGATGAGCTTCCGGGAAGTTATACATATGAGATAAGAAAAACACAAGAGCATTAGGCTAATGCGAACAATATCTCAATAAATGAGAGTTTAGGCCATTACAACCCCAACTCCCTTATTGTGCCTTCCCATCATTCATGCCACTTGATAATAGTGATTTGAAAAAGGTTGCAACACTAAGGATTTGGGCACAGTCTTCATCTATTATTTAGATATTTTATACTAATTATTATTTTTGTTTCTTTTATCTTCATGTGTAGTAAAATTTTTTTATTAATTTATTATTTGTTATTAATCATTCTTTTAATTATTCATCTATTTTTATTCAGTAATTATAATATATGTTTTCGACGCCTACTCATTCATATTTTCGATTCATTTAAGGTTCTATTAATTATAAGGTTCTATATATTGCATGTTGAAAAATATATAGAAAAAAGAGTGATAATTTTTTATATTAACATTGCAAAAAATCATATATACACGTATATAATGAAAATTTAATGTATAAAGATTATCGAAGTAAGCTTGTTCCATCAACTAATGAAATTTGTATTATAAAGTACGAAATGATTGGCCTGTCATACCATCAATGAAATACATAATGCTAAAGAAGCGATGAAATGTGATTATTAAAAATTTATATATTAATGATGCTAGAGGATCCTTTTATTATAAGACAATATTATAAATATAAATAAATAAATATATATATATATATATATATATAATGAAATATGTTTAAAATATTTTTTTTGAACTAAAATTGACATTTGCAATTCAAGTTCTCAACAATTGCACATCACCCTTTAATTTAAAATTAAATTTATTTTTACACATTTCTATATCTTTGAATATAATATTCAAAAGAGATATTTATTCTAACAATCAATTATTTGATTTATGTTCTTGTAAAAATCAATCAACATGGCTCTACAAGGATATTGATACTTATTTCATCTTCAAGATGCAGTGATTAGAGAAACTATTATCCGATTCAAACAAGATTTCAATTAAGTTTACACAATGTCTGATCATGATTTAAACAATGTCAGAACAAGACCTAAACATCCATGAACCAAGTTTAAATAACATACAAGTAGGTTTTTCACATTGTTTGAACATTATTCAAAACATATCTTTGATCCTCAATCATGTTTTGTGCAAAGTATTATCAAAATGACCCAAAATTGATTGCTCCAATTCATTTTGGAGACGTAAAACATTCAAACATTAAAAGATATACAAATGATTGTTGAAGTTGTTGAAGTCCAATTATTTTGTGTAGTTCAACTTTATCATCACAGTCCTCTTACCCCCATCAAAAGAAATGTCGAGTGGAACGATAACGAGATTAGCAATAAAGGATGCCCAAAAAAATCAGGAGGAGTTAGGAGGGAGATACTTAGTAATTTCAATAGGTTATACTTGGATAGATAGACATGTATATTAATGATATTTGCATCCAAAATAGAGGTTTAGCCATATTGTTCTAAATAAAAACAAGAAAATTTATGTATATTACATATAATTCTTATGCATTTATTTACAGGAATTAATGTATTTCACTTTAGATGAATTAGTGTTAGTGATATTTTTTATTTAATTAAGAGATAAAGTGTTATATAATTAAATATAAAAAATTATATGTTATATATACAAGTAAATAAGTATTAAGTGATATGTAGATGAATCCTCAATAAAAAATATTGAATTTATGTTCATTAAAATATGAATAACATGTGGTATATAAAGTTAAAATAAAAAAAATATATATATACATATGTTAAATTAAAATTGGACGACTTTTGAAAAGTTGTATTTATAAAAAAATTTTAAATAAAAAATTAAATTTTTATAGAAATTTTTAAGAAAAATAGATTTTTTTTAAAGCCGCCCAAAAATTGGGCAGAAGAATGACTTTGTATAGTTGCGCCCCTTGGTTATATTTTTAATATTTTTTATGCTATTTTGTATCTTTATACTTTTAGAAATTTAATTTTTATTTAGTTTGGCCCTTTTTAAATATTTTTAAAATTCATTATTTTAAGTGTTGAAGTAAAATATTTATTTTTAGTATATAGATACATACATGATATTTTTTTATTTAATTAAGAGATAAAGTGTTATATAATTAAATATAAAAAAATTATATGTTATATATACAAGTAAATAAGTATTAAGTGATATGTAGATAAATCCTCAATAAAAAAATATTGAATTTATGTTCATTAAAATATGAATAACATGTGGTATATAAAGTTAAAATTAAAAAGAAAAATATACATATATTAAATTAAAATTGGACGACTTTTGAAAAGTTGTATTTATTAAAAAAAATTTAAATAAAAATTTAATTTATATAGAAATTTTTAAGAAAAGTAGATTATTTAACAAGTTGTTGACTAGATTTTTTTTAAAGCAGCCCAAAAATTGGGTGGGAGAATGACTTTGTATAGTTGCGCTCCTTGTTTATATTTTTAATATTTTTTATGCTATTTTATATCTTTATATTTTTAGAAATTTAATTTTTATTTAGTTTGGCCCTTTTTAAATATTTTTAAAATTCATTATTTTAAGTGTTGAAGTAAAATATTTATTTTTAGTATATAAATACATACATACAATTCATTTTATGACATTTATAAAGCAATTAAAAAATAAATCACATCACACTTATTTTGAAAAAAAAAATCTTAGGGAAAAATTAAATAATTTAGAAGTTGTTATTACTAAAAAGTTTTAATCAAGATTTTTGATTCATTTTGCTTTATTTTCTTATATATTATAAATGTGTAAGGACTAGAATCATCACAGATTTTTTATAAAATTTATTTTAATTTTTTTACATATATACATATATATAAAGAGAGAGAGAGAGAGATGTTAGGTATTGTGGAGCTCGGTTCACTTCCTGATTGGTCAGTCTTGCCTTCTGCTCTAGTTTCCAAGTTAAAACATATATTTTAAAAGTAGATAATAATTACTTGTAAAAAATAAATATATTTTTTTAAGTTTTCATTAATTTTTTATATTCTAGTTTAATACATAAAAATGGTTTATTTTAATTTAATATAAATTTCAAATATATATAAAAAATTAGAGAAATTGCATAAAAATAATTATTAAATTTTTTATTAAAAATAATCTTTAACTTCTTTAATTTATGCTAAAAAAAATTAATGAAAATTTACCTTTTTTATGTTTTATAATAATCATAAAATAAATCAATTTTCTTACAAAATTTATATAATTACAAAATAATTTTCCAAACCATTTTAATTCAACACTTTTAAAAAAATGCAATTTATAAATATTTAAAAAGTATATATATTTTTTAAATAGGACCCTCAACAAACCGAACCTAGCAAGTCTACCGCTCTCCTGCAAATTTCCGGAAGCCATGTCGAAGGAACCATTCCACCCTGCTCCTTCAGGCTCTGAACCTCACTCAAGCCCGCCCGCTGGATTACGAGATGCAGAAGGCCGCGGCGGCGATGATGCGAAGCAGGTGGAGAAGACGAATGCGAACAAGAAAGTGTTGGTTATCATGGGTGCGACTGGTGCCGGTAAATCACGGCTCGGCATTGACCTCGCCGAACACTTCACAGGCGTCGAAATCATCAACGCTGATTCCATGCAGGTATACCGAGGTCTCGACATTCTTACCAACAAAGTCCCCATTTCCGAGCGCAAAGGTCTCTCCCTTCATCATATAGTTCAAGAAATTTGGCCCCCTCAATTCTTTTGATATGCAGTGTTCCGAAAACTGTTACAGGCGTTCCTCATCATCTCCTCGGTACCTTTGAAGAATCCATGGAGTTTACATCCAGAGATTTTCGTGATGCCGCCATTCCTGTCAGTCTTGGTTTATCTCTTATGTAGGTCATTTGTTTGATCCGGCTGGACTGATGTATTATTTTTACTGTAATTTTTGTGCATAGATTATAGATGATATACTATCACGTGGTTGCCTTCCTGTAATTGTTGGGGGTACGAATTACTACATACAGGTTTTTGTCCTAACACTTCTGTATTCTTCGCATTCAAAGGTTATGGATTTTTTTTCTATTTATCCCTAAGCTTATGTTATTTGTTATGTGTAGGCTCTTGTGAGTCCTTTTCTTGTTGATGATGTGGTGGAAGATATGGGCGAATGTTTTAAGAATTCTTTATTTTGCGACATAGGTGACAAAAAAAGACAGTTTGATTTTTTTTCCTCTTTTATCTGTTTAATGTTTTTGCTAACTTTATTTGTTGATTAGATCTAAACAGCATTAGTTCGTCTTCTTCCTATGAACTTCTCAAGGAGATTGATCTGATTGCAGCTAGTAGGATCCACCCAAATGATCATAGAAAAGTAAGATATTTGGTTACTTTCTGTTCATCTTTCTGTCAAATTCTTAATTATAGTGTTTACCATGGATTATTTTTTATGTATAAAAGAAAAAGAAACTGATCAAGTAGCTTCAACCAACGATCCAACTAAAATTAGTATTTTATTCATCGACATTGTAAATTGTATGACCAGAATATTCCTCTTTTTGTGATATGGAATTGAGATTTTGTCAATGAAAAACCTTTTCTTTAGCTTTAGATGGAGAAGGA